TACCCAAAATTAGCACAGCCTACAAATAAAAATATTGAAATTACTACTTATTTTAAAAAATTATGATTATATCTGTACCTTATCAAATAAATTTGTTTCGTTATCATCATCTTCAATAAATTTATTGATATCATCCTTTGATAAAACTTTAGATTTCTTTCCTCAGTATCCGAGGCTTTGGTCTTAATGAACGGGGTCAATTTTGGACAATATTTTCCTTAACATTCAGTGTAATTTTCAACATTGAATAGACACTCCATAACATAGAAGTTTCACTCCATAACGTAGGAGGTTCACTCCATAACGTAGGAGGTTTCATAATTTTTTAATTTTTATCAAAATAGCACATAAGCAAATTCACAGAAACCTTTTTTACATGTCGCACCATTCACGAAATTGATAATATGGTTTCTCATATACTAACTTGGAATTTCAAAAATTACACCTACCGATTTGATCTTAAACTTTATTTGAAAAAATATAATCACAACATGTTTCTCTAGCACAGTAGCTTTCTCAAGTGTATTTCATACACTTGAGAGTGTATTTCATACACTTGAGAGCTACTGTGCTAGCGTATGAAATACACTTGAGAAAGCTACTGTGCTAGCGAAACATGTTGTGATATTATTTTTTCAAATAAAGTTTGTGAAGATCAAATCGGGAGGTGTAGTTTCTGAAATTACTATGGATGATCATCAAGTAACGGCCGAATCAATCAGAAAAAAATATACTAACTTGGATTTGGTCGTTAACATATTAGATACTATTGCATTTGATTTCTCAGATATATCTAATGGGGTATCACTACCACTATTATAATCAACATCCATCCTGTTGAAAATAACTTGAATCTGAAGCATTTACGAGCAAACACAGTCAGATTCTGTGAAATTGTATTGGTAGTATTGATAACATTAAGGATGAAAGGAAAAGAAAAAAATTATTATGTTATTTTGGACATATTTTCTTCAGGCAGGAAAAATTTTGAATAGAGCAAGACAACAGTCGTTTAAAAGCGACTATTGCCTAAATATGACGTAGATTTGGTGCGCACTGGAATCTTAGACTTTAAGAGAAAAATGCAAAGAGCAAAAACAAAGATGCTGTTGCAAAAGAAGAAATACGATAAAACGCTATATGTTAGTTTTTGTGGAAATATAATTGGACGAAAGGCTAACGGACAATGCTCGTGATACCAAAATGCAAGGGTTGAATGTAACTACAGAAATATGAATTATTTCAGTAGACATGATTCATTTCAATCTGACCTCAATTGGTTCATATTGTGGGGGATTGATGGACAAACTTTCTTTGACTTTGTTCTTAAGTTCAGATCTCAACGGCGGTCGATGTCGAAGCTTAATTTTGCAACAGACCGTCTTATGGAGATTCGTTTGCAATTAATATTCGTGGATTGAGTTTGCTGTTAATCCTGTAGATGGCATCTTCCTAAAAAGAGATATCCATGCTGAGTTATATTTCCAGGGTGACAAAAGCGTCGAAAATTCAAGAATTCTGTACCAGTTTACAAAAAAGATATCAAGGGGATTTAATGTAGAGTTTTTATCTTGAAACATATTTGAAATCTACAGATTTTTATACCCGTTCTAACTTCTGAACGAAAGGCCTAATTCAAATGTTTTTAAGATAAATGTATGTGTACACAATCAATCCTGATTATGAAATTATTTAGTTGGATCAGAATTGATATCATGATACGAATGTCATCATCTTTCGATTCCTCCTTGGTTTTGGCTGAATATTTTGAAAAAAAAGTGGTGATTGTGACTTAATTATAATTGCAATATAGCCTTGTGGACTTTTTTGTGGTTAACGAAGAATGTTATAAACGTTTTGTAGATTATTTTGTGTATCATCAGTAGATTTCGCAGCGCCTGCTGGAAGCCAATTTTTGATAAGTTTAGTTGAACGCTAAAAATGATATTCATTGATCGAGTTTTCATAGCACAATAACTTTGTCCAACCTGATTTCGTCCGTCAATCCCAAACTTAGTAGTTTTTACCATTACTTCTCAATTCATGACATCACAATTCTATTGTGTGGAAATAAATTTTAATATTGATCTTGATCTGGTCCCATACTATGGATTTTGGTACCCCCACAGCTAGAGTGGAACCACTATATGGAGTTAATAACCCAAATGCACTTACTAGTTGCAAATTATGTTCAGAACTTTCACATGTAGGTATTGGTGGAAACTCTTGACCAAGGTCTCGGTACCTTTCTTTTAAACAGAAAAATTATCGAAATCAAATCAATAGAACTCCCTTTGCAGTCTCTACAAGGACAAACCATATAAAAAATCAATCGTTTTGTGCCTTCTACTGTTGTGAATTAGCTTCAGCTACTTGATTACAAAGTAGTGATTATCTGCCATGGTATAGTAATCATGATTATTAGACCTACTTCAATATTGCCACGTAATATACATATTCTAAATTAAATATCGATCGAAAATATTGTCGAGTGACGGTTTATGTCGTTGGAATAGACATTCACTATCGAAAGTAGATAACAGAAAATAGTATGACATACATAATGGATAAAGGAGAATTGAAATAAAGGTCTGATATTTGGGGATAAATTGCACTCGAATATTTTTCGTTAAAATTTACGAAGAAATGAGAGACGTTGAAATGAAAATTAATCTATAAGAAGTTTTCGAAGTTTTGTGGTACGTCTATTATTAAATGCAGAAAATTCAATTCTTTCATCGAACAAAAACATTAGTAATGTGAACGTATCGAATTTTATTCCGGAACTCCACCTGTTCCTGTGCAAATGGCTTGGAAAATAAACTTTACCTAAAAATGTTATCGCTGAAAAACTAGTATATGAACTGAATTTCATAGACGTGTGAAATGATTCAAATGACTCCAACAACAATGTTTTATCTGTCAAACAATATTGTGATAATCTGATAATCCATCATATCTTATTCAATAACTGATTAATATATTCTCAACCAAATGAATTATTTCAATAGAAGGAAATAGATGGCATCAAAAGAAATAATTTACCCAACACTGTGGAAATTTATGTTTTTGATATTAATCCTCAATTTTCAGAATTCATTCGTACTAAATCGCTATCTAAAATTCAAATATAACTAGCTCACCCTTCAAATGTTGTTCTGCCACATGAATTATTTATATCAGGACAGTAACATTTACAAATAATTGTTATCCCTTAATACTATAGTACATAAAATATTTTTCGTTAGTCCATTTTCAGATAAAACAAACAAACTGGATGGTTTGACCACTCAAGAGGTATAATTGGGATTCGTAGTTGGAGCCAGCATTTAAAATGCTGGCTCCAACAACGTTTTTCATTAATTTTTTAATGACTGATCGTGAGCTGTTGCACAGCCGTTGTGGATTCAAACTATGGAGCGATCCAACCTTCAATTGTAAATTATGCAAACACAAACAAACTGGATGGTTTGCCCAGTCGAGAGCATGCCACGTATAATTGTCCGTGTGAAAAACATGTGCACATCCAAGCCACAAATGAACATTGCTTGGCCTTGGGACTGATCAATAGTCATTGCAAATGCCAATCTATTCAGAAATTGCACACATTTGAAATTACTTGGCACATCTGTAGGTATAATAGGGATTCGTGGTAATTTACATAATTTCATATCGCAACTTGCCATTTGAAAAGCTGGATTCGACAAAGTTTTCCATTAATGTTTTAATGACTGATCGCGTGCTGTTGTACAGCCGTTGTGGATTCAAACTACGGAGCAATCAAACCTTCAGTGTAAATTATGCGGTGGCATGCCTGGAAAATCCAATGAGTTCAAAAACTCTGTTGGATAATTCACAGCTTCGGTGTCATCGCAAATTGTATCTACGCTCGATGTAGGTATAAACAATAAGAGTGACCGAAAGCTGTGAAGGGAGTGAGAGAAGGCTTATTGGGTGAAAGAGACAGGAGACCGTTCTCATCCCTACTCCGTGCTGTTTACTGAGTGAGTAGTGACACCGGTAGACGCCTGGCGGAAATACCAAAGATTAAATTACAAAAATGGCTGTAAAAATTGAGGGTTATATGTCTTTTTCAATGCCATATTACTCTAGGGAGTCTAGGGGTATGAAAAACAGACTGAAACCTATTCTCATACCTACCGAACATACATATACCATTTCATAAAAATCGGTCAACCTCTTTCTGGTGGAAGTATGGCAACTAACACTGTGACACGGGAATTATTTCCCCTACTGTTTCTGTAAGAAAGAATCGTTTCTAACATCACCTTAGGTCTCATTGGTTTTATATGTGATGAAGGAATAGCATTTGGGTGGCTTCCAGAACTAAATGTATTGTCTTTGTCTCACATTTAACAGTAACAGCATTGACGATGCTAAACGCTCAAATAGATTAAGACAACAATCCCAAAACAATACGATGAAAACGCGTTTTATGCAAATCAGGGAAATCTATGAGAACAAATCATCACTAAACAAGTTGAATAAGAATATTGTTACTTTGGAAGGGTTCATTCCTCTATTATTTTTTCTTTGCACTCGGACAATAGGATGACAATTGCAATCAGAAATTTAAATTTTTTGAATATTCAACCAACCGATGCAGAAATATGTCTAGTCAAATATTCGAATATAAGTGCTTTTTATTTATTCAAGTGTGACCTCATGATTCGATTGGTTCAAGTGGACATAATATCATTAAAAATTAATGAATTCAACTAGTAAAGTGCCTGTTTTGTCTGTTATTACTAGCCGCAATGAGAGTCCGGTGAAGCAATATCAATATTTTGATTAATATCTCACAAGTCACGGAAAATATGGACACGATATCAAACTTGCGTCTTGGTATGATTCAACTTTGAATTGCAAATGCTTTAAATAAAATGTCCCTAAGTTTTCCTATGTATGAAAAATAATGTTCTTTCAAATTATGAATATTCACCAATATGATAATTAGTATGGGATTTTTCCTGTTGCAGGTGACTAATGTGAAGAGGAATTCCTTATACAACGGCCATACCTATATTCACACAAGATAGGTTTGTAAATAATAACTTACATACAAGAATTATTTTTATTGTTTTATCTGCGAATGTAATGATTGAAGTAAATTTATTTTATGAAAGCCTATCAATTTATTGGATGAAGTAAAGAAATAATGTTAATTCCAGATACCATAAAAATTGCATTAGTAGCCCTGTCGACATGATTGACTTATTACATAAAAGTCTGCTGGAAGTGATTTCAATGGTTGGATGGAAATCTGAAATCGATAGTTCATCTGAGAAATACAAGGTGGCTAGACAAAAACAAAACAGTCGTTTGTTTGAAATTGGTTGACAATGTTTCATGGTGAATTTTACTAGTTTGGACTTCTATCGTCTAATATGATATAATATGACTGGAAATCTCTGAAATAACAAATGAAACTGAAAATTAAAATGAATAGCTAAAAATAAAAATTATATTAAGCAATAAACCGCGAAATGGAACTACAATAAAATAAAAACAACTAAAACAACAATAAAAAATGAAATATTAAATTGAAGGCGATTTCAAACCAAGTTACTTCAAGACGTTTCGATTGTTAGAATCCACAATCGCCTTCGAATGCTGACTAGAGATTACTATTTTAGGTCATTTGAACGCTTTCACCTATTCTCTCTTCTCTCTCTCTCTCTATCTCTATCTCTCTCTCTCTCTCTCTCTCTCTCCGCTTCACTGGTTTAGTGAAGCGGAGAGAGAGAGCATTTTTCCGCTTGATTCAAAGTTTCCATATGTTGCGTATATCTACGCTAGCTTGGCTGAATGCATCGTTGCACAACATATATGCAGCTTCGTTGAACTTCCTCTGAAACTAATATTCCTCCCTGTGGATGATTTTCGCTTGAGACCACTTGGTGTTATGTTGATAAGTCCAAACATGCTCTGCTATTCCCGATTTGCTGGTTTTCTCCTAGCTGAATGTGTCGTTGCACAACATATAAGCAGCTTCTTTGAACTTCCTCTTAAACTACTGTTCCTCCCTACGGATGATCTCAGCTTAGGACCACTTGATGTTATGTTGATGAGTCCAAACATGCTCTGCTATTCCCGATTTGCTAGTTTCTTCTTGCTGTGTTTTCCTTTTGTGTTCGCCAATGACCTCTTAGTTTCACCGGTAGGTATAGGATCCGCTGCATTTACAGGGTATACAGTAATTGCAATTTTCAATTCGCAGTCCACGTTTGGTGGCCTGGTTTTCGTGAGACTGCTTCATATGATGTTTCCGGATCTGAAGCAGCTTTTGATGTACTTGGGCCCAATTCTTTTCATCCTTTCCGACAATCAATTTTTAATTTCATTTTATCATTTTTTCAGTTCTTCATTTTTTCCAAGATTCCATTTTGAAAAATACAATGAAGTATGTTTTGATTCGTTTTTTTATCGAACTGATTTTTTCGTGTACACAAACAGCACGGTATACTAACAGCAGTTCAAGTGTCGAAACGATTTTTTGAAAAAGTTCAATTATATCTCTCTCTCTCTCTCTCTCTCTCTCTCTCTCCGCTTCACTGGTTTAGTGAAGCGGAGAGAGAGAGAGAGCGTTTTTCCGCTTGATTCAAAGTTTCCATATGTTGCGTATATCTAAGCTAGCTTGGCTGAATGCATCATTGCACAACATATATGCAGCTTCGTTGAACTTCCTCTGAAACTAATATTCCTCCCTTTGGATGATTTTCGCTTGAGACCACTTGATGTTATGTTGATAAGTCCAAACATGCTCTGCTATTCCCGATTTGCTGGTTTCTTCTAGCTGAATATGTCGTTGCACAACATATAAGCAGCTTCTTTGAACTTCCTCTTAAACTACTGTTCCTCCTTACGGATGATCTCAGCTTAGGACCACTTGATGTTATGTTGATGAGTCCAAACATGCTCTGCTATCCCCGATTTGCTAGTTTCTTCTTGCTGTGTTTTTCTTTTGTGTTCGCCAATGACCTCTTAGTTTCACCGGTATAGGATCCGCTGCATTTACAGGGTATACGGTAAATGCAATTTTCAATTCGCAGTCCACGTTTGGTGGCCTGGTTTTCGTGAGACTGCTTCATATGATGTTTCCGGATCTGAAGCAGCTTCTGATGTACTTGGGCCCAATTCATTTCATCCTTTCCGACAATCAATTTTTAATTTCATTTTATCATTTTTTCAGTTATTCAGTTTTTCCAAGATTTCATTTTGAACAATACAATGAAGTATGTTTTGATTTGTTTTTTTATCGAACTGATTTTTTCGTGTACACAAACAGCACGGTATACTAACAGCAGTTCAAGTGTCGAAACGATTTTTTGAAAAAGTTCAATTCATTTTTTGTCATTATTATTCAATAACCACATTCAGTTCTTCAGTTCTCGAGTCGGTTATTTCTAACTGCTTATACAAAACATCACTCGGGTAGTAATAATGTCCCATTACTTGTTATAGTATGTCCTTAAGTATCTACTTTCTGAACTCCCAATGTTAATTGATCGGTCTATCACTTTTTGAAATTGCCGTTTTCGAAAATGATTCTGTATATGCGGTACCAAATCTAGTGTGAAATTTCATATTTATATTCTATTATATCACTATACCGAATTAAAACCGACATTGTAGAGAACGACGTTACAGCAACAACTCTACATTACAATAAGAATTTTACTTTACAACATTTCTTGCAATTCATTCAAATTAATATTTATCTACTAAAGATGTGTATGATATTTTGAAGGTTTTTGAAAAGGGCTACCTTAAACCACAATGTCATAAAAAGCTTTCACAAATTACATTTCCTTTTTGCCAACCCATTTTAATTCGGTACTTTTTAATTACCTCGAATCACATGAGTTTAATTTTGAAATTAACCACTTCCTCAAACAATTTTTCTTTGGCAAGTTGAAAATACTCGTTCAAGATTTAACTTAACAACCAATCTTACTGTCATTCATTGAATTATAAACTGAGGGATTACCCTTATTTGCGATCATATCGTCATTGTTTATAATTGTGGATTTAAATTTTGATATGCGATTATTTTCTGGAAATCGTTTAATTTATCAGCATGACCTGAAAGCAGCCTTTGAATCTGGATACCAAGTTGATGCAATTTATCTGGATTTTACAAAGGCCTTTGACCGAGTAAATCACCACCAGTGATGATTTTGGGTTCTAGATAATCTGACACGATATATGGAAACTTATCTGCTTGTTAAAATACGAATTGAACGCTTGAAGATTTTCACATCAGTCCCATTAGGGTTATGCCAGGAATACCACAAGGATCACATCTTGGTCTATTATTATTCAATTTGTATGTCAATGACTTGGGTATAACATAATCAGATATGCTAGTTTTATGTCATATGCGAGTGATCTCAACATGTACAAGGCAATAGTTGATTTTGATGACTACAGAAAAGTTCAGATGGATCTTGATGCGTTGTGGGTCGTTTACTAATAATGGAATGGCTTTAAATATGAAAATAGTAGAAATTCTATTGATCAAAATATAACCTCTTTGAAAACAGTATATCTTGCCTATGTTAGATTGACTCTAGAATATACATCAACTGAATGGTTTATTATTATTCTGTACGTGTAAATAAAATAGAATCGGTCCAAAATCGATTTTTATGTATCTGTGTGTACAAATTGGGATGTGTGTGAGGTACTTACGAATATAATATTATTTTAACTGTTTTGAATCTTGTCACTGTAGAGAAACATAAGATTTCAAAAATTCTGTTATTTCCACGTAGAATCTTGACAGGTGATTTAATTTTGTTATTCAGAATTCCGGTCAAAGCAACTCGGAACCTTGCTTTGTTACCAAACCATACCGCCAATTATTGATATTTTAATCTAATGTCACTACTCATGCGGCTCAGGAATTGTTTTAAGGGTAAACTCATAGAAATTAGTTTAGATTTATTCCGTTACCTTACTTGTTTCTTGATCAAGAGCAAGAAAGCGGTACCTGTGCCCAGTTGGAACGACTACATCTTGATTTGTCGAGCCAAGAGCGTAGGTTGGTTCTTGTTTTTTATGGACATTCAATTATAAGTGATGAAAGGGAAAATAATACAATGTAAAAATTACGAAATACAGAGTGTTACCAGAGGGTTTAATGCACTAAACCTTACAACTTCTGATCGAAATCCTATTTCCAGGAACCATCAAGGAAACTCAAGGCTTTTGTTTTACAATCCTCCAAATAGACTCTTCTGATTTTTAAGATCCGGGACTCCGGCAGTCTCCAGCAGTAACCATCTGAGACGTATGTTTTATAGTGCAACCAGACACGTCCAAGACGATCTCCTCATTGTGTCCAATTTATTTCTGTTTTTATGCATCTACTTATTTTTTATGCTTTTAACGGCTCTTATACATTTATTGATTCTTATGCTTATATATTTTGTGCTTGTATGCTTTTTATGATTCTGATTTTGTGCTTTTAACTTTGCCTGGTAGAACTACAATACAAAATAACTGTAGAAAAAATCTACATAAATACTTCAATCGTTGGAATTTATTCTGAGGGGTGATTCTCAAAATGTCTAATTAAATCACCATTACGTAATCTCTATATGAAGCCAGACACAAAAAAGGACCCTATCCTTCACACATAGAATCGGTTTTAGTTCAGAACCCAGGCAATGTTACCACCTGTTACATCAGTTCCTTCAAACATATACACGGGACCCACCGATTCTAAGTATGATATTACTATAAGTAGATATATCTGTCTGTACTTCACTTCTCACTCTACTTAAATCACTATGAAAAAAACGTCTATGACTGAACAAAAGGAGGACAGTACTTGTTTACGTCAATTTGTACACTCAACTGTGTAATGATTAAAAATAATCAATATGGACTTCGAATAGTGTCAGCATTCTGATTAGGATTTATTTTGAGTACTACTACAGCAGACTACCCAGAAGAATCCCAGATCTATAAAAATAGAAATTTGAATAATTGATATGTTACAATCTACAACTCAAAATTGGCGAAAAGGGTTTCTTTGTGTTCAGATTGTCTCGGAAATAATATAAAATGAATAGTGGTGAATAGTACAGGTGAATTTTTCACGCCTTGTACCTTCTTGTTTTAGTTGTGATTTAGTTTAGGTTAGATTGAATTTGGACATATTGTATAATTTTTCTGTAAACAAGAGGTTTTGTTTCCTGTCCAAATAAATAAATGAATAAAAATTGTTATTATAATGTCTATTCCAACAAATGAATACAATAGCTAAATTTGTTTCAGTTTGCCGAAATGTACACAAAACTACCAGGCGACAGATCTCCCATCTTCACAAGAACCAACAGCATTTGTCCAACCCCCGAGTCTGTGTTGTTAGAGCTGGTCTTGCAGAATGACAGGGAGAACATTCAAAGTATCGTCCAGAATCAAGCCAAACTTCTGACTCACCTGTATATCGATTACAACAAACCGATTCTGTCAATAGCATGTTCTTCAGAACAAGTAGAAGCAGAAACCGTGAGAACTTTGATAGACTTAGGCGCTGACTTGCAGCATTTCAACGCTGTACAATGGCAGGCTATTCACTTCGCAGCTCAAAGAACCAACAGCAAAGTGCTAAGAGTAGTTGTGGAGGCTCTATTAGACCAAGGGTTAGACGTCAATTCTTTGCAACAAAGCAACAACTCGTTGCACATTCTTATTAGGTTTGGGAAAAACGAAGAACATGATGAATTTCTGGAGTGTGCCAAGCTGCTCATTAAAAATGGGATAGACGTGAACGCTGCGGATAGCAAGTTCATGTCTCCTATACTTTGGGCGGCAAAGAAAGGGTACAGAGACATGATCGAGCTGATACTGGTTGAAAGTCCAGTACCAGTTGATATTGATTCCCATCAGTCGAGAGGAAAAACTGCAAGGGATATAATCCTAAGTGAGAACTTGTACGACGGAATACTGCCAGAGAAATTCGTCAGTCTCAATGATAAGGACGATGTCGTACTGTTCAACCACATAAAAACCAGGAACGAAAACGGCTTCATCAATTTCAAAAACGGAGACATATTTGAACTTGTCAACTCCGACGACGGATCATCAACCCTACTGCAAATGTCTTGCGACAACGGCCTTAAGAGAGTTGTGAGGCATCTTATCGACAAGGGTGCTGATCCCAACCTGGGAACTGCGAAAAACGCGAAAAAACCCATTGAAATTGCTGCTGAGCATGGGTTTTACGAAATATTCCAAATACTCCTAGATCACCCAAAAATCAAAATACCCAAAACCATCCTGATGACTCTGCTAAAACACTACGATGAGGATAAATTTCCGGGAATAGACTGGGCCGAATGTTACCGAAGGCTACACAAGAAACTCCAAAGCGACAACAGTATTTTGGATATCAATGATGTGGACTATTTTCAAAGCTCCTCGCTACACTATGCTGTTCGGTATAGTGATCCAGAGACAGTAATGGAGTTATTAGACTTGGGGGCCTCTTTGGGATCAAAAAATGAATTTGGAACGATGCCCATATGTGATATAGAGCCGGAGCTCCTAGAGAAACACTTGGATAAGTGTGTCGAATTCGATCCGAAAGGAAAAAAAGACAAAGAAGACTTCTCGGTAACTTTCAAGTACCGTACTCTGATTCCCCCTCCACGAAAGATAGAGAAACGCGACGTCTCAGACTCTTTGGATTCAGAGCAAAATCTCAATAATCAATTTCATCAAGAGCTCGTACATGAAACTGAGGTTATATTTTATATGAGTCAATCACCCGAGTTCAAGCACCTCCTCAAACACCCTGTGATAGTCAGCTTCTTGTTCATAAAGTGGCATCGAATCCGATGGCTTTTTTACACGAATTTAGCGTTCTACGTAGCTTTCTTCATGTCTCTAGTCGTCTACGTATTCACGGAATACGCGAATTTCAATAAAGAACGAAGTTCTTTCGAAGTATTTCTCGGTCAATCATCAGAGGTAGTCCTAATAATCACCTTTTTCTTACTAGTTCTCAGAGAACTGTTTCAGATAGCGGTTTCACCTTGGAAATATTTTAAAAATTTCGAAAACTACATCGAAATAACTCTCATTCTCATCACAGGTGCTTTGCTGTTTATTACTGACCCTTCCAACGACACCAGAAAACAACTGTCTTCGATATCCATTCTTCTGGCCGCCTTCGAGCTGGTGCTGATGGTCGGCCAACACCCAAAATTGTCCACCAACGTGGTGATGTTGAGAACCGTGTCCTTCAACTTCTTCAAGTTCCTCATGTGGTACTCTTTGCTAATAATAGCTTTCGCTTTAAGTTTCTATATCCTCTTCACCGAGTCTCCATCAGAAAAATCCGGTAATACCACAGGGGAGGAGAAAGAAGAGGAAGACTATTTCACGGATCCGGGAAAATCAATGTTCAAAACTATAATCATGTTAACTGGGGAGTTTGACGCGAGCGATATCAATTTCCACACCTTTCCCATAATCAGCAAACTCATTTTCGTTCTGTTTATTTTTATGATTGCCATTATCTTGCTGAACCTGTTGAACGGTTTGGCAGTTAGTGACACGCAAATGATCAAAACCGATGCCGAACTCCTTGGCCATATTTACAGAGCGCAGTATATAATGTATGTTGAGAGCATGCTTCTGGGTAACATCATTCCCAGGAACTTGCTAAATAAGATTGAAGATCTTTGTTGCTGTTGCCCTTTCAATAAGGACTGGAACTACAGAGCCCTGCAACCGCTGGCCAGACGGGCTTGTCTTTTTCCACATTTTCTTTATTACGAAATGACGGTTTATCCAAATAGGGGCGGGCAAATTGCCATCCACAATGCCGCTAAAAAGGGAAACTTGAGAAATTGCTGCTTCGGTTGTTGTTCTAGTATTTCCTTAGACAAGGATACCATTAAAAGAACCAATAACATTGTCCAGGCAAGAAGAGAGCAGATGAAAATCAAGCAGGAGGTCAGCTATATCCATAAAATGGAAGCGCTGGTACAAGGTTTGGAAACGAATGCTAGAAGTGAGATTTTTATGTTGAATAAGAAATTGGATTATATCTTGAAGTATATCAATCAGGAGCGCACGGAATAATTTTTCACTACTATTTTTTACAATGTAATTTTAATTATATTATATTCAAGGCGAGCTGTTATATGTATAAACTAACTTCATATTATATTTATTTATATTGTCATATTAACTGTATCTCACAACAGCTTGATCCAGTCATATGTTTAAATTATGATTGAATTTGCCTGAACTGAAATTTCTAGTTGAAGATAGGTAGAAATTTGTTATTTTATTGTTATTGAAATCGATAAATTGAAGCAAAAGTAGATGAAAATGTTAGTATATCGGTGATAATTTCGATCCTACATGGGAAACTATGGAAGAAATGGATGAAACAAAGCAAAGTAGTCAAGAAAAAACACTGTAATGAATGTAAAAAATATCTACAATGAAAGGATTCATACGGGGAAAATTCCAAGGGGGTAAAAAAAGACAAAATTACCATGCATTTGATTAAATCCTAGTTACTATGGAATGCACCAATATAATATTGATTCGCGATTATTTTTTAAAAGTCTCAAAAAATGTTAATCAAAAACCTACTGCATGACTTGTTTAATAGTAGAGGTTCAGACTTTGTTGTCTACTAAAAGTGATATATATTGTTTTTAGATATTGAGTATTTTTTTTATTTATTTAACAGAAACATTTTTGTATATATTATTGTACATTATTCAGCAAGGCATACATACTATAAACTAAAAAAATAAATTTTGATATACATGAGAAGTATTATTTTCACCGATTCACCTTAAAGTAGAACCACTATTATCAAAATTAGGGTTTGATTCATTAAATTTTTTATGACAATGTGTAAAACTTAAATGGATCATAGACGTCGAGGAGGTGTTTGCGACCATTGAGCGCCTAGTGAAGAACAAAGCCCCAGATATTGACAGGATTGAGGCAGTTCTACTACGTAACCTGCCGCGAAAGGGCATCATACAGCTAGTACCTACACATCACAAACGCAATTATCAAACACCAACATTAACCGGAAGCATGCGGAGATGGTGCCCATCCATAAGACTGGAAAACTTAAATCTCCTGTAGATAGCTATTGGCCGATCTCTCTGCTCAGTGCGGTGGCGAGTCATCGATAAAATTATCTTGAGTAGACTTCTTCGCCTAGAAGATCGGATGAAGCTCATTCTATCTGGTTCTGGCGAGGTCGGAATACAACTTCCGGGTTGTTCACAGGGTGAAGGAATCCTTCAAGCAGAGGATGAATACGGTTATGATGGCGACATCCAAAAAGCTTTCGATGTCGCCAAGATATGGTTGGTTGACATGCCCTTGAATTCTTGAATCTTACTGAACTTTTCACGTGAGAGTGGACCAAACCACATATGCGAATAATTCAATTGAAGCAGATGTCCTAGGGGTCCTGTCCGTCATCGCCCCCCTACTCTTTGTATACGCATGGCTTTCCTATGTTCCCGAGAACGAATGTGGGTATACTTATACGTCGTATTTAGAGAAGAATCAAATTCTGATTGACCCAAAGAAGACGTAACTCGTTAACTTCACGAAGAAATTTACGAATGTGAATATCTCTTCGGAAAGTTGCGAGTTGAGGGTGACTGCGTTGACGAGCAGAGAAGCGCGCGATATATGAGAGTTATTCCGGATAAGCGCCTGATTTCTCAGGAACATTTGAGCTTGGCGATATAACGAGCGAGTGCGGCGGTAACACGTAGAGAACTCGAATCTCAATGTTGACAACAAGTTGCTAATTTACAAGCAAGTGATTATACCAGTTATGTTGTACGCTTGTCCCGTATTCTGTAGCCTTAAGAGGGCTCCTCTGCAGAGACCGGAGACGATGCAGAATACGATGATCCGTATTTGCACGAAATGTGACAGATACATTTTATTAAATGATTTTTTAGATCTGGCAGAAGTTGAGACGGTCACTAACCATATCGGGAGGCTGTCTTCTAAATTCTTCAAGTTCTTTCTACCGAAAAGCCCGGCACTCAGAAGCTATCATAATCAGCCCCGTAAACACGAACTGATATAAGTCTCTTTTGGGCAGAGAGCCACCAATCAACATCAGCGGGGGCGTTTCTCCTGCCCTACAGTGGGGCTATGTGGTGATGTTCTACTTGTGGACATCATGGGGCCCAACTATGAAGTCTTCTCCTACTGTTCCCTCCACCTCTCAAAGACGTCTCCTTTTCCTCCCCCCTCCACCCACTTCCGTATGTGGGAGAGATGTATACTTATATGTTTTATTTACATATTGTAAATGTTCTCAAGATTATAAGAGAAAATAAAGAATTTTTATTTTGTTCGCGTCAGCACGACCCTGTTCTCATAGAACACAAAAGCTTTTTAGAACTGGAATAAAGGGTTGAAAACCTCAAGCAAGTGGCAGAGATAAAAGTTAAAGAGAAAGTGGAATTGTACTATACAATTTCCTCAAGAAATGGACAAACATACAATCCTTGATGTAAAACAACTGCAGATTGAGGCAGTAAGAAACTACTACAAAAGATCAAGCGGGAAGCTGTCAGTCTTGAAAACACGATGAAAATACTCAAGTTTACTGATGAGAATACCCCTCAACACCGAAAACAAAGGGAAGAATTTCCCCTTTACATGAAAGTTTTATATATCACAAGAAAACTACTAAACACAAAAGAGTAGAGTCAGTAAGCGGACACGAGGTTGTGCAATAGATTCGAGGAACTCCGGGAGGTCATGGATACGGACGACACTGGAGTTGAAACTAAAATAAAAACTTCAACAAACAAGTCCAAAGCGAAGCCACGACAAAAAAATAATACCCTACCACAGATTGTAATTGAAGGTATCCTTCCCATAAACAAGGAAGGCTTACAAACAACCAAACAAGAGCTGAGGAGTGGCTTTGAAATTGAATATACAGGGCATTCAATCCTCTTATCTAACAATTATTATCTAACATTCATTATATTATCTACCAAAAAAGTAACATATATTATACTGTGTGAAACACATCAAACAAACAGAATGCTGAATACCACACATATACACAACCGGAAGATAAAACCAATTCATTTGTCGTAAGGGGCTTATACCTACGCGCATTCACCTGTAGATAACATAGCGGACGAACTAGAGGAAAAATACAAGATACAAATTGGAAATATCTACAAAACAAAGACAGAAGGGATGTCACTCTACCATGTAATAACAAACAAAGAAGTCACCCTCAACCACCTAAAAATGAATGTCCTTTACATTCTGCACATGCGTGTGAAATAGGAATTACGAAATAACTACTCAAGGCAAATTTCACAATGCCATAGATATCAGCTTTGGGGTCACACGACCTCAAACTGCAATAGAAAATTTAGGATGAACCTGCACAGTGCGTTAACTGTGAGGCCCTCATCCCGCAAACAGCGTCGATTGCCCTGTATATAAAGAAAGGCTAGATGACCGGGAAAAAAGAAGACAGATCAACCGATTCTAGAAATTCACACCAGCCTCGACACCCCAACGCAATGCGTGAGGTGGGAGAAATTCTCTGATTAAGAAATCATTTGCGATGTTTCCTCAGGCACCCGAACATATGGGACAAATGATCAATCTGCTGCGATGAAGTTTTAGGCACCCGAGCAGCATCGGCATCAACAGCATCGGAAGAGACCGAGCATATACGCTATTGACGGCTCACCACCTATAATATACCGACAACACCCCCTTCTTGAACAAGATTAGTCATCGGGGCCATTTCAAGAATGCGGAGCAGGGAAGAGAGATCTCCCAGGCTTTCAAGAAACTTAATTTGTTATTTAATATGAGCGAGATAATGAAGTCGGTTAACGATCTCATTTGGAGAGCGTTTGTGGAGTTCCCCCAGAACATTTGACAATCACAATTTATAAAAATTGTGTTATGTGTTGGGGAGGCGATACGAACGCATCTCCAAAGTGGTTGCTAAATCCGATAATTACGATTTCAACAGCGAAAGTCCTAACCCAGTTTTTTAGCATGCACTTTTTCTGGGAGTCTAAGTCAAAACTCCGACCGCCAGCTAATGCCATATTTGAGTAACCTTAACATCAACCTCATGTAAAATGGCGAATAGGCTCAGGCAGGAGACGCCAGGAAAATTAGAGTCGACTAAAAGTCTGGATCTCAGTTTGTGAGAACTCACTAACAACGTGAGGGACGTACTCCACCGTCTCGCCAAATTCTTGTACCATTTCCTTACTCGTTTCTTGATCGAGAGCAAGAAAGCGGTACATGTACCAAGTTGGAATGAGTAGCTCTTGATTCACGGATGCAAGGGCGCAGGCCGGTTCTTATTTTTTTTTGTGGAAATTCAATTATGTCTTTCCGACCAAATTATTGGTTGGAGAGAAACAGTAAAAAATAATGACTATGAGGACTTGTGATGCACTTTTTGAAACAATTGGTGTAGTAATTAATATTACTAGAGTTTTTTCCCAACACCAATAAATTCCCGACCTATAATTTGGTCGGAGAGAAACAGTAAAAAATAATGACTATGAGGACTTGTGATGCATTGTTTGAAACCTTTGGTGTAGTAATTAATATTACTAGAGTTTTTTCCCAACACCAATAATTTCCCGACCAATAATTTGGTCGGAGAGAAACAGTAAAAAATAATGACTATAAGGACTTGTGATGCACTGTTTGAAACCTTTGGTGTAGTAATTAATATTACTAGAGTTTTTTCCCAACACCAAACAGTTATTTCAACACCTCGACACGTGTTTCAATCACCAAGTGATCATCTTTAAGAGAAATATTAATGAAGATGATCACTTGGTGATCGAAACACGTGTCGAGGTGTTAAAATAACGGTTTGGTGTTGGGAAAAAACTCCAGTGATATTCTGAGGTCTGTTGAAAAGATACATCGGTCACAGTAAGCAGAGGTTTTAAAACTTGTTCTAAAGAACACGTAGCACATATCCTATTTCAGAGACCAGAAAAACCTAGTGTCGTTCAACACGGCTTGGATAACGGCCATAGAATAAATGGAAACTGTCCGAAATTTGTTGAAAGCCCTACATGACACTAGATTTTTGGATGCTTAGGAAAGTCTGGAAATAGCAAAGTGTGGCATGAGAACTATGAACAGCGACAACGATCCCATTCCAAACAACCCACAGCCCATCGTTTTCCTTTATTTGAATCGCTCTATTAGAATTAGCAAACTTTCACGAGAAAATTTCCCGCGAATTTCTACCTCCAATCGTTGGTTTTGGGTAGAAATAGGGACACTCTGAATAATTTCTATATTTGTTGCAATCATGCCAAAAAAATATTATTATCATCAATCATTGAATATACATATTGGTGATGAAACTTAAAAAACTATGAGAAATGAAAATGTACTTCATTTATTACATATAATAAATAAAAAGAACTTATATAAACAGCACCAAAGTATTACAATTCAATATACATATTCAGCTACTAATACTCTTGCTATCCTGGCCGCTAGTGAGAGAAACAGAACAGATCAGAACATTCACTTGTTCAGGAGAAGGACAACCAATCAGTAGCTGATCTTCGCTATTATAACCACCCCTTAGCAAAATCTGATCCACTTGCATGAAAGCATTGATAACATTATTTTTAATGGGTCTAAAAAGAATAAACTCCGTCTCTCTATTGGCCAGATAGAGCTGCATTGAACGCTGAATTTCAGGTATTCTTAGTTTCATGTTCTTCTGAACATCTTTGATTAAGGCACTAACGAACTGAGGTTTCCCGAAATCCTGACTGACAACAGTCAGGTCTTGTTTTGTGGAGTTCTCAGCTTGGATAATACGGAGAATTTTCTCAGCTTTCTCAGTCCACGAAGAGATGCTTCCTGGAAAAATTGACAAATACAATTCCACACTGCAGAATAGAGTGCCTCAAGACTCAGTACTTTGGATAATCATATCTATAATCTATGGCAGATTTTTAAAACTTACCAACTAATATTCGTGTTGACTGTGAAATAAATTCTTCACAAGAGAGTTTCAACTGCTTATCGATTTCTTTCCTGGAGTCAACCAGGTACTCCTTCACTTTCGGGGTTCCCTCCAACAAAAACTCTAGCAAGGCATTATTTGAGCCGAAAGTGAAAATATTATTTCTGTGGTTAATTAGGCCGACAGCAGCTTTTTGTACGGTACTGAAGTCCAAAGTTGTTTCCTTCACTGTGAAGTCTACCTGTAACGAAAGGCTGCTCAATCAATTATCATATTTTCACAAAAATCTACCTGAAAGGGCGCGATTTGTTCCCTTATGATCAAAAGATGTTTAATTTGGAACAATTGCCCGTCTATGGGAGTTTTCTTGGAAGAAATGAGTCCAGATGCTGTCTGGATTGTTTGAATGCATATCACCAGTGCTTCCTGTGCCAGTCCTTGGAATGTGTTGCGATCAAGGCAGAAGTACAGGCGGGAAAGACAGACTAGAGTCCTTTTCACTGTCGGATACCACATACCATGAAGATCAGCTGGAGAATTTCCTGAAAATCGAATATAGGGGAGAATTTCCTGAAAATCGAACATAGGGAAGAATTTCCACCAATGATGGTGCTACTCAAACAATAAACAGCTGATAGTAATAACTGAATATGAAAAACAGGTTATGCTTATTGTTTTGGGGTTTTCTGCGTTTCAAGTCGTTTGATTGTGAATTTATTAGAGTAGAAAGTAATGGATAAGTAGAATACATTTCTTTTGCCCACCGGAAGCTCAAGAAACCAATATATGAAAACAGCTGACAGAACTTTGTTTTACCATCTGCCTTAGTTCTAATATTTCTGATAGACGTCTTATCTGGACGATGAACTCTATAGTGAATAAAATGATGATGAAGCACAACCCTGTATGGAGGAAATTAATAAAAACTGAAAGAGCAAAGTGAAATTATTTAGTATCAATGTGATAGAATACTGTTTTAGTTTGAGAGTTATTTTATGAGGTCATTATTTTAAGAACAATTGTAGCTTGTATCCTAACATATGGTTATAAATACAGAAAATGCTCTCATTCTCCACAAATTGGTAATTTCTTCTCAGCCATCAACTGATAAAACATAAAATATTATTATTTTTGAGATCAGGAAGACGAAGTGTTTTTAAGTATATTGTAATTGGAACCTTTTTTTCTGGACTATTTGTAGTCTATGACAAAATTACAAAGTTCTCGGAAAAACACATTATTATTGGGGGATGTTAATTTGATATCACATTCAGTACTAGTTTTTACACTGAATACAGGGGTTGATTTTCAACCCAAAACTCATTTGGAAATTCTGTATGAATGAAATAATTTGAAAATTGTATTTTTGTTCTTGTTCAATGTTATTTGATAAAAAAACATAACAGACACTCTTGTTTTGATTTTCTGCAACACATTAGCACATGTCAATAAGTTTCCATAGTTCAGAAGTATCATCCCGTGTACAATTTGATTTTGATATTCAAAATGTCATATATTATTGGTTATCGTCATGCTACGTGTCAGTGACAGAAAAGTTTGTTGCAACAAAGAAAAAGCTTTAAAAGAGTCGTTCGTCAAGGTTCATTGATATATCTGAAGGATCTGGCAAGAATACTTCGACGTATTATCGCCAAGAACTTGGACAGTGTGATTAAATAATGTGATTCTAGATGTTGAATTTGACTGGGTGATTTCAAACTGAATGGATGTAGTCTAGAAAACAAGAAATATTCAAATTTCTGAAGTTTATTCAAACCAATTTGACATCAGTTATACATTTCCCAATTGAAATGAATTAATTAACACCAAAAATGGGCTACTATTCTTTGATTGAGAAGAACTTCATAGTACGTAATTATCTGACCATGGTCAAATACAAAATTCAATTTTCTGTCCTACAATCAACCCGAATAAAAATTCATTGCTCTGTGAATTTATTCTAATGGAAAATTTGTAATTTTTAAATTTTACAATAATAATCTGTTGCTACATTTTTTTTATATACCTACATAAATGTATCAAGACCATATTTTACTTGAAAAAAACTGTTTTACTATTATATATTTCATCATATTGCTTTGTCAATAATAACTTAATGTTCTTTTATTGATTGACATTGATTGAAATCTAAATATCAATACATTAATAATAATGAGAAAATTAATCATAAATGATTCATTTTCAAACAAAACTAGTCCAACATTCAGTCCAGGAAATGGTGTCAATACTAAAATATTATGAAATAATACAGTAATTTCTGTAAAGAAAAACGAATTTTTCAGTTTTTGGGTTTCTAATTGATTCCTTTGTCTAGAGAGAACTAAACCAAATTTGGAGAATATCTGTTCAACAGATGAATAAGAAGCAGCGGTACCAAATAACTATGTGAATATGAAAAACACTTTTTTAATAGTGAAAATGTTTCTATTGCTACGCATAGTACCTACTTGTTGTCATACACAGACAGAATATGTTGTCTGTATAATACGGAAAAATGCCACTCTAGGAACAGGTGAAGGTGACCCAAATTTCCGAGGAAGTGAGGATGGTAATAAAAAAATTTGGTTGTATATCAGCAGAGTCCCAGACCATACTACACAAGAAAACATTTGCAGTTATTTACAAACAAAATTGAATACCCTAGATAGCGGTGTGAAGAAATTGGGATCCACAAACCCCCGTGTCGACAATCAGTCTTTCATGATTGGAGTGAATCCTGACAAATTACAAACAGTCTATGATCCAAACTTTTGGCCTAAGAAAATAGCGTTCGAAAGATTTTACTTTCGAAAAGGGAAGAGGTTTTTGGGTGACCAAAATAAAAAAATCACTAACAGGAAGTATGTCACAACCTAAAAATTTTTTTGTCTAAAGAACAATAAAACAAATCTTCAGAAGGACACATTGAAGATTTACCACCTCAATATCCAGTGTCTAACTAATAAATAGAACAGTTACAGTTGTACCTCGATGATGAACATTGTGATGTCATTTGTTTGACTGAAGATTGGCTCAATTTAGACTGTTTGAAAACTATCAATCTGAATAATTTCAAATTAACTAGTTGCTTTTGGAGACAAACCCTTCAACATGGTGGTGTTTTCATACATGTTCACAAAGACTTACAATGTAAACCTCTCCTTTTGAATACTTTTTGCATTGAGCAGCATGCAGAATTTTGTGGTATTGAATTATCAAAAGAAATTGCATTGATAACATACAGATCTTCTTTATCCAAAGAATATGAACTGTTCTTCAATCAAATTGAAGAACCTCTAGCAATGATATCAGCAATATATAAAACCATAATATTAACGGGGGATTTCAATATCGACATTTCTAAAAATAATTACATCTCAAATTCCTGGTTGAATATCATCAAATCGTTTGGGCTTAACCCTAAAATAACTACCACTACTAGAGTAACTCCTACATCTTCAAGTTGCATAGACAATATAATGACTAATTTAAACGATAGTGAATGCTGTACTGGAACCTCAGATCCTAGTATTTCAGATTATAGTGGACAGTTTATACAAATTTCAAATCTTTTTACAGACATTGCTGAACCTAAGTGGAACAGAATAGTTACTCAGAAGGGACTGGATGCCATGAAACAATCTCTTGAACAAGTCGACTGGTGGATGTTCCATGACAACCATGTCCCTATGAACATGAGGGCTGACTTCTTGAATAATACATATAGTTCCCTTGTATGTGAACATTTTTCACTGAAAAAATTAAAAACAGTAACAAAAAGTCCTATTCCTCTCTTCAGAAATGAATTACGACAGTGAGTATCTTCTCAAAAAATCCTGCTGATAGAGAAGTATATAAAACATACAAACGCAAAACATACAAAAACAAATCGAAAGATATTTGGAAGTTAGTAAATCACGAACGAAGTTCTGCTAGTAACTCAAATGTCACCCCAAATAGTATCAGCCCTGATGAATTTAATATATTCTTCTCCAATATAGCCGAGGATATAATCAGATCCTTGCCATCCTGTAATATCAACATGACAGATTGCTACGCTAATGTTACCTGTGACCCATGAAGATGTAATACGCTCCATTAAAAAACTCAAGAGCTCAAACTCTTATGACATATATTATTTAAATAGCCTCATCATCAAAGAAACTCTAAATTATCTCATCGAACCGTTAACCATTCTTATAAATGGCTGTTTTCTTGAGGGTTTTTTCCCAGATGTATGGAAATTTAACAAAGTTATACCTATTTTCAAAAAAAGGAGATCCTTCATCACCTGACAATTACACACCTATATCTATTATACCCATCTTGGGAAAAATAATAGAGATCATAGTTAAAGAACGTCTGATGAGCTTTATGAAAAAATATAGTATTCTCCACAAACATCAATATGGCTTCATGGAAAACAGATCCACAACTGACGCAGTTATGGAAATAATACAAAATGCAATAAACAATGTGGAACGTGGCGAACACACCTCTTTAACGTTGTGGGATCTGAGCAAAGCATTTGATTGTGTTAATTACAATCTCCTTATCAGAAAACTTCAGTAATATGGAATTCGAGGAACATCTTTGAATTTCTTTATATCCTATCTCTCTTCAACGAAACAAGCAGTTTATTTAAAAATTGAAAATGTAACAATAACACAAATTTAAAATTAACTACTCAGAATATATTATTCAATACTCTCGGCTCCTGATTGTGTAAAAAATCTCTTAGTGACTTCAGAAATCTGCTTGGAACCTCAATGTTTCTTATCGTTCGAGAAAGTTTATTTTAAATTTTATTGATCTGCAGATGGTGCCCCTTTTGCAAATAGCAAATATCATCGAGAAACGTAATATCAGTGAAATGATATGTTAGAAATTTGAAAGGATAGTCATGAATCAACAGAAAAGTTCCAACCTGCGTTTCACATTTTATGACGTATTTTCAGTGAAATTTTCTACATTAAAATGAAAGTACTGGGAAATAATTGAAAACTAATTATACATTGCTGAAAATATTCAACATTATTTATATGAAAACAAAAAACTATTGAAATCAAGAACATTGTGATTTTTTTCAAGAAAATAATGATCTTTTTATAATTTCAATAAACCCATGATTTTCAAAAATCTTGTTCATCCATATCACATGTAACATAAATACCTGTGTACGAGCGAAAATGGGCCATCTGTGCAGCGTTGATATGAGCGACTTCTTGAGACTCCAGAGAAACCACAGAACTCCTGGAATCCGACCTCCTGTCTCTGAGATCCAATGCAATATTTTCCATTTGCAATAGTTTCTCTGGATATGCCAAATCTCCAGGAGACGGTTTGTATCCCAACAGATCATGCTGGAAGAAGACATTTGTCCTGAATACCAGGCGTTCTTCAACGTCATGTAACAACTGAGTGATAACCTCAACGTACTTTGTGAGCTGTTCACTATCAACAACTCTATCGTTCAAAAGTTCGGTTCTGAGAATACCGCACAGTTCGCTGAGTACTTCAATGTGATTGATGGTGATCAAATTGGGCCTCAGGATGTCGTATAAATGCTGGCAGAGCGTTCCCAAATAGTCTGTGACCAAGTCGGATATTTTCGAAAAAAAGTAGTTGTAGCAAGTAGCCTCGTCTTGGCAAACTTTCATGATGAATAAACTGCAAGATCTGAATAAAATGCTGTGGTCATTTTTGTGCTTGTCTTTGAGCTCGTGTAAGGCTTTCGCAACTGCTACGCTTAGAATTGGCAGACGTTGCGTGAGGTAAGTCTTCTGGCAGTCGCTTAGGATATTTTTATACTGCAATAATAATAACATTTATTTATAATTCTGAAGAAAATAAAACAAATAAACAATTCAAACTCAAGATCTGTGCGATTTCATTTTGTGAGGAACATTATTGAGATTTCTACATAAATAAGGAGATTTCAAAATTGACGCCAAAGAAGCTCGCGAAAAAATAGAAAACTCGATGAATCTACATATATTTTATCAGGTAAAAAGTTTATTTAAATTATCTAGGTGGAAATGGATCTTACTTGGTTTTCATTGTCAAGGCGAGAGGTTAAAAACAGAAATATGAAAAATCTTAACTGAATTCTCGGAAAACATCCTGTATGGGTTTTCATATAAACTATCGAATGTGGCATCTGGTCATTTCATTCTTTTGACATCTGTCAAATCTGAGGTGTTTAATTTGAGGTGCACTTTACAAGTGTTTTTATAATAAATCACATAAAACTAGTACACTTATAAATTAGAAATGAAAGGTGAAAATGAAACCTCTAGTGTATAATAAATCTGAAACAAACACTTTTTCCAAACATCAGAACAGTAATATTCTTCTCGACACGTGTTTCACCAACTAAGTTAGCATTTTCAAGAGATGAAGAAAAGTAATTCCTAACTCTAAAAATGATCTCTATTTATATCTAACAGAGTACAATTTCACTTTCCGACACACATCAATGATTTCGGGCATCAAAAATTAAAAGTTGAACGTTAAAGGTAGTCCTACAAACTTCTTGATCACTCCAACAAATGTTAGGTAACCCTAAAGACAAGCTGTTTGAAATTGTTGAGATTGGTACCTGACACTAAACTTTTAGATGCTTTCAAAATTCTAGAAGTAGCAAATTGTGGCATGAGAACTATGAACAGTGACAAAGATCCCATTCCAAAAAGCCCATTGTTTACCACTCTGTTAAAATTAACGGGAAATTTCACTTTCATTAATTTGTGCCGAAAAGTGAAAGTGTACCCAGTTAGATATAAATAGAAATCATTTTTAGAGTTAGGAATTAGTTTTTTTCGTCTCCTGAAGATGCCAACTTGGCATCGCCAACTAGACCTCAAGAATGTTGGCAGTTCTGGTGTTTGGGAAAAGTGCTTATTTTGGTTGCATTCTCTATGGTTCTATGCCTGAAAATGAAAATCAATTTCTACCAAATAAATTCCATTATTCAGATAGTTTTTCAGTAAATCATATATTTTTCCCTGATTGAAAGTCAAATGTTATAGACAAAGTTGAAAAAATATATTCAATGTTGGATTATTACTGTCTAGAGATTGATAAAGAATATTTGTAAGTTTTGTGTTCTTTGGTGATAAAATTTTGTTTTTCAAAAAACTGTTCAATACATTTTAAGGTTTACTCAAAACATTTTTGCCATATTCGAGATATGGGATCTATAATTTTGTGTAATATTGTTTTTACCTTATTCATATATGGGTTTGATTATACCTGTTCGTTATGCTCATCCCGTTCCTCCAAGTTCTGTAATATGTGCTTGACTTTCGATGCAGCACTTTGGAATTTGCCATAGTAAAGAGAAAAAGCAGAGTCTACTAAGGAATCAGTGGCGTTTGGAGCTTGAGGAAGAATGTGGGTTTTGATCTCAGGATCGACTACCTGTTTCATTGTTTCTACCAGTAAGTTGCTAACAAAGTTATAGATTTTATTCAACAGGTTGTTCAATATGCTTTCATACTTCATTTTATATACTCTAGATTCCTTATAATTCAAATGATCGTTCAAGTAAGCTACACTTTCATCTATTTTGTCCAAGATTTGTATGCAATCTTCACCGTTCAGTCTGTTGCCCATTCTTTCAACGCTTTCCTGACATTTAGAGAAATACGTGAAATGCTTTAACCGTTTGTTGAGTTCTTGCTTCTTTTCCTTCAACACCCTCTGATTCGCCATGAGCTGCTCGCTGAGATCGTGCAAATAATTAGTTTTTTCCGTGACGTTTTGATACTGTCGTTTAAGTTCCTCCAAAGAATTCAGGGCAGCGTCTGAATCAGTATACAGGTTTTTACAGTACTGTTGATATTTCGACAGCTGTTCATAATAACTTTGGTACTGCTTCAAGTTTTCGTGTTTGATATCGTTCTCTGTTGCGATCATCCATTTTATATAATCTTGCATTTTGTGAATCACTGGTGGGCACTTCAACTCGGTATCTTTAGTTATAGAACCTTCATTTTTTGTATCTTCTGTTTTACTGTACAAATTCGAAACCAAGTCTCCCATTTCATACACCAATTCCATCTGTTCCTCTGTCAAGGGGGCAAGAGGGTCTTCTGAGGATTGCCATTTCGCCAAATTTTCTTGAACCCTTGATTCTTTGGTAGGAGTTGCCTCTAAAACCGGTCGGTTCATTTTTTATTGAACTATGAGAAATTGTAAAGGGGTGCAATGTTTACATTTTCCAGCATATATGCAGTATACGTATATATGTTAAATTAAATTTAAAAACTGACAGTAATGACACGGAACATCCATTATGTGAATTAACCAATACACTGGAATTGCGAAAAACGTCAATTTTTATTCAAAGTGCATTCTGATCAATGTTGTTTATGATTATATCGAAAAAAGTAACATTTGACAGAAAATTGTAACATTTGAATGAGCCGCACATGAAACGCAGCAATGGGAAATGTTCCTCCTGACGAAAATCAAGTAGTTTTCATAAAAGAGCTCTAAAACAACGCATTTTAAACTTATCATTTCAACCTTTTTCTTTAAAAAATTATTTAAATACTTAAAAAAGAAAAATGGAATAATGCATTCAACATTTAAAGGGATTCGTTTCTATTTCATCATTTGGCAACATCGGTTATAGCTAATAAAGGACAATTAATTTGTTACNATATTAGTATAATGCTCCATGGTTCGTGTGGAATGAAGCCATCCGCAGAGATTTGAAGCTGTTAACTATATGGCAGTCCATTCAGTCGAGGAATCAGAGAGTTTTCGAGTCAGCGGAAACTCATGATAACCCATTAATTAGGGTAGCTGTAGATTACACTATAGATGACCCCACTAGATTCAGAAGGCCCCGTCGCTCGGTTGAGTGAAGGCCCCACGACGTCTGTTAAAATGAACAGTTTGTTCATCAAATACCCCAGTCAGGAAGAGGTACACAAGGCCAGAGCGGCATAGAGGCCATTGACCTTTATGTCGCCAACAAAACACCTTACGTTATGAACCATTCGTCCTCCTGACGAATCTCAGTTGAAAGGGTAAGGAAAAAAATTTCCAACCTGATGAAAATGAAGATGACTATGACACAATGAAGTAACGTTTGGAACAACACCGAGTCCGATTGACTTCTTAATCGAATGTCAAATCGGGACATTGTGTTACACGAACATGATTACACCTTGAAGGTTCTCAAAATAAATTTATGGATGAAGCTGAAGCCGTTACTACGTGGTAGGAGATCAATCATGAAAATTGGAAATGAAACTTTCTATGTTTTTTATCACTTTTATAAAGTTGTAAAATGAAAGTTTCATTTCTCATTTTCCATGTTCTCAATACACCCTGACAGACGGATATGGCTCTCAATACCATTGATATATCGACAAGATGTCAGTATGAACATTATTTCCCGACCGGAGAAAACTGTGTCAAAGCTATTTTCAGTTTTTTGACTGTGGTATGTAGGTTGTCATGCCTGTCGTTTCGTCTACTACTGGGTTGGGTAGACATTATATAAGGCAATGTGCTCGAGTTGCTGCTCTTGTTGTTGTTCCCGTTGTTCTCAACACAGAAACTACAATGATGTGTTTGTTATCTTGTTTAAGTCAGATTTATGGGCCTAGGGCCCCTTATCCAATCGGCTGTTTGAGTTTTTCTTGGGTTCCTGTGGCGGGGCGGCAGGGGATTGCATGGTCCTCTGTCGTCTTCTTTTGGCTCTTTGCCCTGTGTGTAGAGGTCGCAGCGTTTTTCTTTGGCTTTGCGGCCGTTTAGGCATTTTTCTTGTTTTAATTTCCGGCAAGCATGGATAGCAGTACCGGAAACTTCACTAAAAGCGCCTGCAGCTGTCTTAAGGCCGTTGGGAGACCATCGGGAGAGCTGCAGGCGTTCTCTGACGATGAGACGGCCCTCGCATACGAGACGTCGCTCCTGATTGAGTTTCTTCCGACAGGCCTTGGGTTTGTGGTCTGTCTGTTTTCATTCGGCCTATCTGAGGCCCTTTTATTTTCAGGGCGTTTTGGGCACCCATGGAAGCTCGCTGGGTGTTCTCCCTTGCAGTTAAAGCATCGCAAAGGCGAGTTTTTAGGTCTTTTGCATTCCTTGGTCATGTGCCGTCCGGCACATCGAACGCATGCTGGAACTACTTTACAGTTGCGTTGCGTGTTCCCGAACTTTTGGCATCTATAACATTGTCCTGCTCGGTTTCTTGGCTTCTGTGTTTCGAAGCTTACACGCACGTTTTGAATTTCGGTAATCTCATATATTTTGTTTTGGCTCCTTGGAACTAAAACAAGAACGAACGATATTAGTACCTTGTTAGCTTTACTCAGGCGGACTACGGAAAGGATCTCAAATCCTTTACCCTGGAGTTCAGTCTTGATGTCGTCACACTCTATGGATTCCGGGACCCCGCGAAAAACTACTCTGAGAGGTATTTCGCTTTTCATTGTATAGGTATGGTAGGGTATTTTCTCTTTATCGAGGATCCGAGTAATTCTCCTATAATCATCTGTATTTTTAAGGTGGACTTTAATTCCATCTGTTGTGTTCACCGCCCGCAATATGGAGATGTTTTGCGCAGAAGCAATCGTGTTAAAAGCTTTCCACTTTTCTTTTACGCGGTTGGTTATGGGTGGAGGCTTATCCGCTTTTTTGCGTGTTTATGCCCGGTCATTTTTTGAGGCGTCTGTTACTAGTTCTTCGTCGCCTACTTCCATTGAGTCAGGTGGCGGGACTTCTGTTTTCTCTATATTTGCCGACTCAGTTTTCTGAGTGGGCTTTTGAATTTGACCTTCCAGTGCCAAGGCGGGTGTAGTTTTATTTGACTTTGGCTTATTGATCCATTTAGTCTGGGAAAAACCGGGTTTTAACTGTTTGATTTGTTGAACCGTTTCTGGCTCTTTTTTCCTCTTTTTTGGGACCTTTNTTCAGTTTTTTGTTTGATAAAATTGTTATTTTCGGTTGATCTTTTTGATTTTTTCAGGGTTATCAAATCAATTTATATTATATTAGTCAATGGAAGTCAGAACTGATGAAATACACCACGAAACATTGTCAATCATCTTCAAACAAACTTAGACTTTCTCTTATTGTTTTCGTTGGCCTAAATATTGGTTTCGCGTTGTGTTTTTCCAAGATTCTTCCAATCCGGTCTATAACATTTTCAACATACGAGATGAAAGCTTTTACTTTGACTAGCCTAGCTGGGGTTAATTTGGTGTTTTCTCTTATGAGTCGTATGGGCCGCTCGAATTTTCTTTCGCTGTACCCTTTGAAGGCATTTTTCAAGTGAAGGTGAAGACTCTCAGGTTCACAGATAGGTCACGCTCTCTCAACAAACGTTTTAATTACCCCCCTCTTTTGTTGTGGCTGGTAGTTAGAGTTTTTGTTCAGGTACCTGACTGGGTGTGTTGGTTTCCTGTACTCTCAGAGGTTCAATGTACCATCTCCACATTTGTTCACAAAAACATCCAGGTAGGATAAAGTCTCTTGTGTTTCTCATTCCATTGTGAATTGGATTTTTGGGTCGAGAGAGTTCAGATGTGAAAAAATCGTTCAGTGTCTCTTCACCATCTTGCGTGTCACCAGCATAACGCAGCCAACAATATGGTTTCACGGCCGCTTGCTCTAAGCACTGTTGTTCGAAACTTTCCATGAAAAAGTTTGCCATCACCGGACCTAATAGACTGCCAATGGCGGTTCCATACGCTTGTTCGTACACTATCCCACTGAAAATAAGTTGATGATAAACAATAAGCAAAGAGGGCGGTTATATCTGTTTGGCGTATCATGTCCTTGATCGGAACCATCGTGTACAAGGAAACCACGTCGAAGATCACCAGTATGTCTCCAGGACCTAACCTAAAAAATGCCTTCCAAGGGAATGGGTTCCTACAGCGAAGAAGGATTCGAGCGGGCCATAGGACCCAGGAGAGACCCAGTTAGTCTTCCTTTCCTCAGTTGAAAATGTTACAGACCGGATTGGGAGAATCTTAGAGTAACGCGAAGTAAAACCAATATTTTAGGTCAACGAAAACTATCAGAGAAAGTCTAAGGTCAGCTAAGGACCTCAGAGAACCTTTAGCAATACCCGGGGTATACCGGATTCTTTGTAGCTAACAAATCACTAACGTTTTCATTTTCAATAGTCGATAAAGAATTTGAGATAGATAATCTCTGATACATGTTTTTTCTGTAAATCTCGAAATCAACGCAAAACTGGAAGAAAAAATATGATCTTGTTAGTCAAAAATACTTCAACCGCAGCTAGCGGTTAGAGACAACAGTCATTATAAAATAAAAGTTGTCGAGTTGTATGTATGGCCCTCAAAAATAGTTCAACAGCAGCTAGCGGTTAGCGACAACTATCTCCCCGTATGGTCACCATAAAACACTATAGTAGAGATACTGTGGTAGAGGACAATAATATATAAGAAACCGAGATACGAGAATATGTAAAATAGCAGAGCGTATTTCGTCAAGAGATGGTGCACACACAGTTTCATAATAGCTCTTTTATTCAATAAAGTAATAACCTGTGAACTAGAAAATACCAAACGAAGCCATCCTCATTTCCGTCAATTGTTTATAGATTTAGATGTATACAAAACGTAAAAAAAATCAATTAACTCTACTGGAAGCAGTTACGTATAAAAAAGAAATAATTCAGGTTCGATCTACTGATTATCACACAGTTGCTGTCTGTAGACACTTGTAGAACTCTCTGTTTCATTTATAAAAAAGGGGATTCCAAATCCAATGACTGATGATTAATGATGATGTATGCTCATTATTGCTCATGCTTTATGCATATCAAACAGGTGGGTGGGTTTGTCCCTGAAAGCAAAAATAGGTGGAAGTTTGGAGATTTGTATTACTAAATAATTTTCTGACTTGTCTAATGCTTTTTATCGGAATACGTTGATCAATCTTTAAAAAAATGGCAAGTGGCGATCCGTCCTGTACCAACAAAAGCGATTCTTCCCTAGCTCAGGAAAGTTCAATCAACGACGCTTATTCGGCACCTGAGGCTAGATTTGAATGCCCAATTTGTTTAGCTTGGCTGAGGAATCCAGTCTTGACCTCATGCGGACACCGGTTTTGTAAAAACTGCATTTATTCCTGGTTAGAGTAAGTAAACATGAACCGGAGGAAGGGTAACTTATCTCTAGCTTCAGTTTTATTTGATTCAAGGAGGGAAAGTGCTTGTCCTGTTGATAACATGAAACTGAATCGAGAGGACATATTTCCGGATAATTTCACTAGACGTGAAATATCTCAGCAAAGAACTAAGTGCCCCAATATTATCCGTGGATGTTTGGTGGAGCTTTCACCTTTAGATATAGAGTATCATCTGACCATTTGTGAGTTTAAGCCACCAGAGTTGCCAGATAATGAAAAACTACGATGCTTATGTGTCGGTGTCGGTTGTGAAGAGAAATTTGAAGATGAGCCCGAGTTGCAACGGCATTTGGAGCAGCATATACAAAAGCATATATCCGTAAGGTTCATTCATCTTTTTTATTGATAAAGTTTGGTAATAATCTTACTTTTGATTTTCCAAATATTTTTTGATTAACTCACCATACCAAATATGTAGCAACTTTCATTTTTCAACTGATATTGTTTAGTTCATTTAGATAAAGAATCTATCTAGCGGATCTTTTGTATGTACTCATGGATGTTTACAGATGTGTTACACGTAAGCAGTGACAACTAAAATACGTACAATATGGGAGTTTTTTAATTAATAAATATAATTGAAATTTGACCTCCCAGTTGGTTATTGCTTGAAAACTAGATGAATACTTACTACTTTAGTCGTCAAATGCTATTCTGGACCTTGATATTTTGATATTTTTCAAGAATTAAAAAATGGATTACCTGGAGAAGTTTCTAAAATGTTCCAAGGTAAATCTCAAATTTTTAATTTCATACTCCTCCACCAAATTTTAGCTCTTTACTGTCCATTTTTTGAAACTTTCATATTTCTGATCAATACGAAACTTATATGCAATATCTTGAAGGGAAAATACTTTTATTGACCTATAACCAGAAAAATAAATTAATTAACCTCTGGAAATACATCGTTTTTGGTGCAAAGTTCTTCTAGTCTGCTTAATCCAGTCAGTAAGGAAGTGGGTCTGTTGTGATTGATTTTAGTAATTACACCTGATTAATGTATCAGCTTTCTTTTAGATATTTTAGGTTTTTCTGCCCATATGCCCAAAACTATTTTTCTGTTTGAGTAAACAATAAACAGGTTTCAAATATGAATAAGAACGGTAGTGCTGAAATATTTAAGGTCTAGGAGTGGTTCCTAAAGGATGTTCAGTTAGAAATGCCCACAAAAGAACATTTAATATACATTAGATGAGTATGAATGTAATATAATCTTATAAGTTGATTGTTACTGTGTCACACTCAATTTTATCTTTTGATATTTATATTCAATCAATTGATATTGAATCAGTCAGCAACAAACAGAAACCAGTGCACAGCCAATTTCTTTTTTATAAAAAATGACAATATTAAACATTTTCACAGTAATACCGGGAATTCTCTCCAAAGTGTCTCTATCTTCTATCAGAATTTTCAGTGTCTTAGAAACAAAGTTTCAGCTATTGAACATCTTCTGAACCTTAACACTACAATAAAGTGTGTCTGCCTCACAGAACATTGGCTGACACAAAATGATATTGATCATTATAATTTTCCACACTTCAGAATGGTAAGTTACTTTTGTAGAAATAACAAAAAAAATGGAGGGTTTTGCATTTACATATACAATGATATTAATGCCGCTGAGGTCACTGATATTATTAAATACTCAACTGAACGGATTTGTGAAGTCTCAGCATGTTATGTGAAACATCTGAATCTGATAATAATAAATGTATATAGGACTCCTGACTATAAAAATCTGGATCAGTTCCTATTTTTGATGAACAAAATATTAGAAATTGCAGATAATTTAAAAATAATGTTTACATTTACTTGGTAGGTGATTTCAATGCACATTTCAATGATATCAATGAAATGTGCAAGTACTCAAAAGATAACACAACTCTTCATGTCATTTGTTCTACATCAAATGATAAACGAAAAAATCCATATCAAAGGAAATTGTCTTCATAACATATTTAGTAATAATGATCTTGCCAAGGTATCCATGGTGCCATGGTATCATCCCTTGGGTTTGATAGCCAAATTTGAAGTGGAGTCGAGTAAACACAGTGAATGTAAACTATTAAGAAAGTATACAACCAATAATATAGAAACACTAAAGTCATATCTGCAAAAAGAAGATTGGTCCAGTGTATATACAAGAAATGATGCTAAAGAAAAATTCAGTAACTTTGAAATTTCATTTATGTTTTATTGTAACATTCGCTTTCCACTCACTAAAGTAAGATTTGAATCAAACAGAGCATCAAAATGGATAAGTCATGAGGTTACAGCCTCAAAAAATATTTTAATGCTTGCATATGATATACAAAGGCAAAATCCTTCTGAACAACATAAAAACATCTATAAAACTTATAAACAACAATATCAAGAATCACTATTGGAGGCTAAAAAGCACATTACCACAGTATATTAAGCAAAACAGACAATTACAGCAAAACTGTGTGGCAAATCATTAACTCCGAAACAGGTTGGAAAAACAAAATCTTAAATGAACCAGAAAATCTAACAGCTAACCAGATGAACGACTTCTTCATCAATAACATAAACACAACTCTATTGCACTACCCAAAATCTGATGTTGACCCTATTGCTTTTATGGATAAAAAATAAACACAAAAAGTCAATGTTCTTTAGGCCTGTAACAACAGATGAGGTGAGAATGATCATAACTAAGTTAAAAAATAAAAAAAACTGAAGATATAAATGGTGTGAATGTTTTAGTCATAAAGAGTGCCATTGAATGTATAACTAAACCGTTAACAGGTATTATCAATACTTGTCTAAGTGAAGGCTACTTCCCTCAGCAAATAAAAATTGGTAGAATCCTGCCAATTCATTAAAAAGGCGTTCGTTACATCCGAACCAAAATTTTTTCGACAGATAGCAATATTGCCAATCTTTTCAAATATTTTCGAACACATAATTTACGAACAACTAGTAAAATATTTAGATATAAATAATCTTCTGAGTCTTCATCAATTTGGATTTCGGAAAGGAAAATCGACGTCTGATGCAATACACTTTCTCACAAATAGTATAAATGACGCCTTTGATAACCAAGAATAATATGTGAGCGTTTTCACAGACCTCACTTCAGCATTCGATTCTGTAAATCACTCGATTTTATTGGCCAAATTAGATTTCTACTGAGTGAGAGGTGTCTGCCTGGACATGATGAAGTCATACCTTAACGAAAGATATCAAATTGTTGATCTAGGAAATACCAAAAGTGAAAAAAGAAAAATATCAACAGGAATACCACAAGGGTCAATATTGGGGCCACTTCTGTTTCTAATCTATATCAACGACCTGCCTCACGTGATGAACTCGTCAGACATAGAAACTATATTGTATGCAGATGATGCAACCTTGAGCAAAAAAAAATAGGTAAAATAGATGATCCTCAATGATCCATACTGACATATTAGAGAAAGCTCGATCATGGTTCACACCAAATGACTTGATTCTCAATGAACAAAAAACAGAAACTCTAACTTTTGAAACAATTTGCTTAAATCGAGATAACAAAAAGTCTACCAAATTTTTGGCAGTACAAATAGATTCCAACCTGAAATGGATAGACCATATAAATAGCATGTGTAGTAAACTCAGTAACATAGTTTTTGCTATCAGAAGAATTAAAAAAATAGTAAATCAAAGTGCGGCACTTGCAACATATCATTTACTTTTTCATTCAGTCCTTCGGTATGGTATAATCAATTGGAATAATGCATCAAAGGTACATCTTAATAGAATATTTGCCATTCAAAAATCTGCAGTAAGAAGCATAATCTCTGCCAATTATGATGAAAAGTGTCGACCAATATTTGCAAAACTTAAAATAATGACCCTATACTCAGTTATTGTCTATGAAAATCTGCTTCTTGTTCAACAAAACTTGATGAATAAACTTGCTCACAAGGATATACACCAACATGATACAAGAAATAAATCAAACCTTGTTCCTACAGCTAATAGGTTGAAAAGAACAGATAATATAGGAATTAAGCTATACAATGCCTTATCTATCGAATTTCGTAACGTGCCATTCAGAAGATTCAAAAACTTATTGAAGAAAATATTAACCAAACATCCTTTATATGAAATTGATCAATTTTTCGAAGTTATTCAAGAAGAAGGAGACACTTTTGTGGTCAACTCCCGAACTTTTACTCAAGTTTGATTATATATATGTTAGATATGTGATTTATAATTTGTAAAGCTCATGGCTTTACGTTTTAGTCAATTTTTGTACGATTGGAATTTTATCTTGTTTAACTTGTATTTTTTTGTAACTCCAATTTATCTACAAGCATTTTTTAGAAACTATATTGACGAATCTTATCCTCTCAAACCTATTTTAGAAAATGTATTGACGTGTCTAAAAACTCTGTGTTTCTTGAGGCTAATAAAATTATTATCATTATGATTACCTTGTATTAGTCTACCAAATGAAAATATATCTCATTACGTTCATCAGACTCATTTTTGAAATTGTGAGATAGTTTTTATCTGCATACATAAAGAATGCAGATTGAACTGGTTATGTATTTAAGTCATTACGATACATAATGAATAGTATGGGGCACAGTACAGGTTTTACAAATATTGAATGGAGCTTCCTACTTAAAAATTACTCCTATATTTTTTTTACTTTTGGAATGAGTTTCCCCCATACTTAGTTTGTGAATTTTCAAGACGCATCTTATTCACTTTAGTACAATGAAATACAAAGTGTTTCAAAAACATGTAAAATAGTTGATAATTTGTTACAAAAGTAATCAAATTTATTATTATTATTTATGTTTGGACCTAACCTTGGAAACGTCGTCTAAATGCCTAGCGGTTTTTATTGACCTTGCAAAAGTATTCGACACTGTGTCACATGACATACTACTGAGAAAACTCTTTGGATATGGCATACGGGGGAACACTTTACAGTTGATGCAAAGTTATTTATCACAGCGGACACAGAGTAAAAATCAGTAATGAAATCAGTAAGCAGTTGAATATATCTGTTGATGTGCCTGAGGGAACAGTTTTGGGACCAATTCTGTTCGTTGCTTACATAAACAGTATTACACAGATCAGAGATTTTCAGGGGCACATAGTTTGCTATGCTGATGACACAGCCTTAATATTTAAAGGTGAAACATGGCATGGTGTTTTACATACTGCAGAAATAGAACTGCAAAAAGTACTGATGTGGTTAAATGATAATTTACTCAGTTTGAATGTCAAAAAAACCAAATTCATGACTTTCTCACTGAATTCGAGTACTCAGCCAAGCAATATCGAATTGTATCTACATAAACCTAGTTGCATAAACCAGTTATTCTGTAATTGCCCCACTATTGAGAGAACAACATCCATGAAATATTTGGGTGTAGTTATTCTAGCAGAATCCATAATTCGATATTGTATTATAGTATGGGGTGGTACTTTCAAGAATACGCTGCATTACTTACAATCGGTACAAAACCCGCTACTGAAAATAATATTGAAAAAAAATTGGCGCTTCTCAACGGAAAAACTTCACAAGGAAACTAAGTTATTAAATGTAAGATGTCTGTACACCTACCAGTGTTTAATAAGGATGTTCTCAAACATTAACAGATATAGAACTAATATATCCAGACCCACAAGATTCTCAGATAACTCAAATATCCAAATACCAATTTACAAAAAAAGCCATACGTAGAGATTTGTCTTTTTCTTTGGTCCAAAACTATTCAACATGCTTTCAACAAACCTGAAGAATATCAATGATATAAATAAATTCAAAACTGCCGTAAAACAATATCTTATCAAAAATACAGTAATAATTAATATTTTTTGAAGAAGAAATCAATACAGCTGTTAACACTGCCTCAAAAAACCATTGCTTTTTTTTTTCGACATCCCCTCTTTCTATGTTTTCTATGTATGTATTCATCTATTTTCTACTAGTATGTACTAGTCATTAAATGTCAAATTAATATTTATTTGTACACTTTAAATTTTGTTCATGAATGAGTGAATAGCACAATACAGGCATTTGTATGCCTATGGTGTCGTTTACTCATTCAGAATGAATTATATAATATGAATTATTTTATATGTATAGTTGTACTTTAGAATTGAGTTGAATAAAAGTTAAAAAAAGTTGAAAAAATGTACTTTTGAAAAGAATGTAATAAGTTTTGTCGTTTTTCAGCTGTTATCACAAGCTTATACAAAAATAACTTTGAACGGCAACATGGCTATTAGTTCTTCAGCTATAGCTCAGCAGGCAAATTTCTGGGATCCTCCTGCTAAAAATGAAGCACACTCTATTGCGATTGATGATAACCTCAAAGAATTATTAAAGTCAGTAGAAGCCCATTCTTCTTGTTTTATAAACTGAATTTCTGTGATTTTTCAGAGTATTATATGAAAAAAATGTATTTTTGGAACAGAAAACACGGGAACAAGATATAATAATAGCAAATATGTCTCAACAAATTTCGTCCATGACGAATTTGTATCAGGTATATTGCAATGGTTGCTATTTATGGTATTTCACTGATTTCAAAAACAAAATCAACGACATGAGACAGAATCCTCGTTTGATGCACTACAGTCCAGGGTTCTATACTTCAGTCAATGGTTACAAGTGAGTCGTTAAATTTTATTAAGAACTTACAGATGTAATATGTTGTTTTAGGTTATGTATCAGATTGAATTTGTCTCCGAAAAACAACAATTATTTGTCAATTCATATACATGTTATGAAAACTGATCATGACCAAGCCTTAGATTGGCCCTTTAGTGGAAGACTGATGATAACTGTGGTTCATCCAGAGTAAGTAAGGTTCTTTTTCAATTTTAATATTGATATAGGATATTAATTTTTTTGAATGTTTCTCACACTAAGGGAGCTAAAACGGCAGCTTCAATTCTAAAAGAACCAGAGCACAAAGTGTGTTATTTTTTCAGAATGACACAAGTGGGTTAAATGTACACTATAACAACATTTTTATGAAAGACGTGGATGGGAACATTACATAATATATTATACATACATAAATACAATAAATAATTTAAAGACTGTTATGGATTGTAAGAGATATGAGATCTAGTTGAGGAATTCTTCAAAAGTGTATTTGTAATTTTTTTCACAACACCTATATGTTTTTACAGTTTTTCACATTTTATGGCAAAATATTGAAAAACTAGCATTCGTTCACCTCACAACTTTCGTGAAATAGAGTAGTACGATACTGTGGTGGTAGTAACAACTGTTTGCCTCTCGTATTATAGTTATGTGAACGTTCAGCCATGTTACTAGATCTCTGTTCAACAACATACACACAGGCTTCTGGTATACAAGTCCCTGCCACTATTGAAATATTTAATTCTTTAAAGAATTCCCTGCTCGAGTCTAGTTTTGCCAATATTCGTATGACATATTTTTGTAAACACTCTGTTTACAGAAGAACAGTTATCCCATTTCAAGATGTCGTATTTCAGGTAAAGTTGGAAATTAGCATAACACAGGATCAGCAAAATCTTTTTACTACAATGATTTGTTTTGAACCTTTAACATCATTAGTCTTTGATGTATTTAATTTGTTTTCATACCACTGAAGAACATGTACCAGAATATTTTTGGCTGCAATATAGTAGTACTTTCGAAATGTAAATTCTGGTACTTGAAATCTCAATACATGAGCTTGAGATTTCCATATATCTATCCATCATCTACGATCCTCTCACCTACTTGATTAATTGCTACTTGGAAGAAGACATTTTTCACAAGTTTATCTAAAAGGCAGAGCACCATGTAGAGTTTAATGAAAGCAGATCAAAATCCAAAAATTGTTCCTTCAGGTTCTATATTGGGTCCACTCTAATATACATGTAAATCATTTCCACAGTGATGTATGCTGCATTGTTATTAATAATTCAGGAAATTATTAATGTCACAGTTGATGAAGCATTTGACAAAATAAAAAGAGCTCAAAAAGGGTTCCTATATTATGGTCTCATGTTAAATGAGAAAAAGACTGTGCTTCCACCTTTCAATCATCTAATTACCACTTCAAATCACAGTTTACTGATCTGGTGAGGGGAAAGTGATTTCAATAGATTCATTACACATCAGATGTTCCAAATTCTATTCATCAAGATCAATTTTGACTATATAAGAATTATATAATGTACCTATGTATAAGGTCTTTTATTAAGTGCTTGCTATCTTTAAATTCAAATAAAACAAAGTATGTGAGATATTATTGAGATTTTTTATTCCTTTGAAAGACCTATATTAATGCCGTCCAATTTCGTCCAATTTTCCATGACATTGGCGCATGAATCAGGCTAAATTTGACCGATGGTATGGGTTATGTAGTCTTTGAGAACCGCTGTGTGGCTTATTTGCATACACTTGCGACTTGAAAAAACCTCACAAGAAAAAGTCTAAAAAGTCAGATAGCACGATCTCGGTGGCCAGTTCACATCACCTCCACGTGAAATGACCATGCCTCCAAATCGCTCGTGCAGAATATCCAATGTGGCATAAGGTGTGTGGCACGTAGCGTGGCATGAGGTGTTCTGTTGAAACCACATGTCATTGGTGTCCAGATCATCCATGTCAGGTCAAAAGAAGTTGGTAATGAACCATTTTCCTGAAGTACGAAAAATCACTCACTAGCAGCGCTAGTAGTTCGGTAGGGACAAACACTGCCTAATCCTCATATGAACATATGGTAAAGTACAATTAAAAAAAGAATGTTTTTAACAGAAGAAGATGTTCCTGGAGCAAAACTAAAATTTGCAACTATAAAGGATAACAATGTTGTAACATTAAAACGTTGGCTTGCATGCCGTAATTTGAAAGTAACTAAAAAAAAAGTGAATTAATAGACAGGTTAGTAGACATACTCTAGTAAAAGAGTAGCGGTAGATTCAAACTGTAATAAAAGAAATTTAAAATAATTATGAATTTCAGATTCATTTCCGAGTGAAATATGAATCAAATATAGATGGTAATGAAATAAATTTAATTGAATATAATAAATGAATATAATTTAATAAACGATTGAGGTTATATCTCATTCTAATCAATGGTAATTAATTATGAAAAATTTACTATTCATTTCATGTTTAGAGCATACATATGAATATTTATTTATTTTTTGCACTGTTAAATCCACTCTCCTCGAAGCATGTATCCATTTCTTACATCTAACCTCATTAGTATGAGGTTTTATATATGGTATAAAAAACACGTTTTCTTCCAGATATCGATTATCTGACGTACAATTGCAAAACAGCAATGCTTTGTTGGCATTATACTTGCACAAAATAATTTTTTATATCAGATTTATATTTTTAAATAATAAATTAATACTACGTAAATAACACTGTTTTACATGTAAATAGTTTATTGTTTGTCCCTACTACTAGTGCTGCCTCTCGTGATACGTTTGCTGTACTATTCTCAGGAAAAAGGCTCATTATCGACCTAAAGTGCTCGCCATCAAACGTGTTCATTTGAAAATTATAGAACAAAACTTCAGTAACGTTAGTTACAAATACAAGTGGTAAAAAAACATTAGTTTTATTTCTCATTTTTCATGACGATCTACCACTTAGTAACGACTACATCCATCAATTTACTGAAATCCAATATTTGTAATGAATTTCTTATATAATAGAGTGATTCTGTGATGGTCCGCCGTACTGAGTAGACGTTTTGTGTTCGCTCCGATACATTTAACAAATTTGTTTGTCAGTGCTAGGTTGAATTGTTCCTCATCCATATATACAGAACTGTCATTTATAACCGTTTAGTAACTGTGTTATAACTTCTCGAAATGCCTGGAGGTTCTATTACTGTAAAAGAACTTAACTGCCGTGTTGATAAGCTTAGTGAACAATTCCAGAAAGGACTTCAAGAGATCAGGAATAATATTCCAACAAAACAAACAGCAAGTACAACTAATCTTGATATCGAAGTTTTTCTTGAAAGGCTAAATTCCTTTGAAAAAAATATGAATAGTTCCCTCACGGATTTAAAAAATGACCTGGAGTCTTTACGTAAAGACGTATTAGAAGTGACTTCAAAAGTAAATAGATTTGAAATCCAAAGAAACTTCAATTATCTTGTCTTTCATGGCCTTGATGAGGGAGATTCAAATCAATTTGATATTATCTCGAATTTTTTGTCAGCTAAAATGGGAACCGATATCACTAAACACGATATCAGTCAGATATATAGACTAGGGAAAAAAACTGCTCAAGCCAAAAAACCAAGGCCACTAGTAATTCAGTTTTGCCGCCGTTGGACGAGGAATTTAATACTTAACAACAAGAAGAATCTTAAAGGAACATCTATTATGATTACAGAGCTGCTTACCGTTGAGAACTTCAATTTGTTCAAGAAAGTTCGTGCTCATTTTAATAAATCATCCTGGACTTTTAAATAGAGTAGCTTTGAGCTAGACTTCGCCAAGGAGTACCAGAATCTCCTGTAAACTATTTTCATTTTCAAATATATCTTTGTATTGTTTTTTTTTGTATTATCAATAAAGCCGATTTATTATTATTATTATTATTTCATATGAGCAGAAATTACTCTTGATTCTCTTCATTTATCAATGCTTGAACTTATACGTATAATCATTATTATATTATTATCAAAGGAATCAAAATTAGGTGCAATGCTCCAGCTTCATAAGTTGAGAATAACCGTAATAACGTTACTGAATTTCATTCCAGGCAATCTTCCAAAAGCATAAAGGAAACCATGATGACCCATCCAGAGTTGGATGCTTTCAAACGTCCTGAGGAAGATATAAATCCAACGGGATTTGGATTTAAAGAGTTCGTCTTGGTTAATGAACTTATAGACAACAATTATATTAGCAATAATCATTTGCTGATAAAAGTTCAGGCCCAGACAGTGTAACAGTGTTGATTGTTATATAAAAGTAATCTTTCCCAGCTCAGTGTACTCGAATCAAGGATAAATTAATTTTATCTCTTATATAGAAGACTGAATGTTGACTTAGAATTTCTCTAACATTCCAGTATTTCTTTATCTCTCTTGAGATGAAGTTGATAAGTGATCTATTGTGAAAGTATGAGATTATTTCCAAATATATATATTTTTACGATGGTATGAATGATTATTACAGCCTTTCATTATTTCAATCCTTTCTAGATGTGGAACAGAAGAGCTGTTGTTTACAAGTTTCTTTTGGTTAAAATGTTTATATTCTTTGGCCTTTTACTCATAGTTCCAATGCATTCGGAGTGAGGGCCTACCAGCAACATTATTCAATGATCTTATCACGATGTTTAGAGAGAGACTTTCATGATAAAATCAGCAGGTAGAAACCTGACAGAGTTTAAAGTAAAGTTATATGATGCAATATGATCCATAAAGTATCCAAGTGAGATTTTATGATGAGATTTTCACTGAACAGTTTACAAAACCGCAACACGTGTTTTGCTATACAATAGCTTCTTCAGGCGTGTTTCAGTATGAACACGCTTGAGGCAAAGTGATACCTTACACTTTTTCCTCCAAATCATGACACTGATGACCTGATTTTTTTTTCTCCATTCATGAAGAAAACTCTTCACATACCACTATTTGTTTCAGATATTTTTCTGAACTTTCAAAATATTTATCATATTCCTAGTAATTCTAGAACTTGAAATATGTATAAATGAGAAAAATCGGTAAAATTTCGGTTAGGCTACAGCTACACCCTCGGATTAAAAAAAAATTGCGTGTACTTACTCATTCTGACAAGTAGATTACAAATTCAAAAGAAAATTCAGTGCTCTCCATTATTTCCAAAGTTAAAGCCCTCCAAGGTCTGAAAATTGCAACTTTCCACCTTTTTCTTGCACAATTTTAACTATAAAACAAGTGTTTATTCACCACATCACTTTCACATTTTATTTCACCTTCTTTGGCACTTTTCAGATTGATCCAATACTTTTTCTATAAAATATCATTATATGGAGCTGCTTTCGGTGATAAATTCCCATTTGAGGTTGAAGTTAGCGTTAAAGTTTGGTATCACTGATTACTATCAAACTAAGTGTTTTCACCCTCATTGTTGAGATCTTCAATTGTTTTTTACGCTATATTAAGCGAAAAATGGATTTAAGAAAGTAATATTGGATTATATGCCGCAAAAGAAACCAAGTGAGTCTGTGATGTTATATTACACAATAGCTTTCTCACGTGTTCTCATGCAGCAGAATGAAAACTCTTGAGAAAGCTATTCTGTTAAAATCCGTTAACCAGCTGTCGTCCCCTGCGAACAACAAAGCTCAGAAGTCGAAATTTGTGTGAGATAAGGATAATTGAGGTCTTACCCTTTTACGTGCGATTCCAGCACGGCAAAACATATGTTGCGGTTTTGTGAACAGTCCAGTGAAAATCTCACAGTGAAGTGTTACTTGAATATAAGTGAGTGCATTTCAGATTAATTTTGATAATCCAATTTGGAAACAATTTTGTAGATGATGCAAGATGTATTCAGACCTCATAAAAATGGCTAAACTATATTATTGAGGTTTTGTCATCAAATACTTCCAAACAAACTGAAAGAGTGAAAATATGCTAGTTTTTATTTTTCAATGGGAAAAGAGATCCAATTATTTTATTGAACAGTTCAGTTAGGATCAAAGGAAAGAACCTATGAACAATAAAATTCCTGTATAATTATTGGTTAGTTGATGATTCTGAAGAAGGTATTTTAGTCTGTGCATTTTACACTAAATTTATGAACATTTTAGTGGGAATCCTAGAAAAATATAATTAGCTTTTGTATAAATAAGATGAATTAAACAAAATCATGCTCTATATTATTCATTTCGGTCAAAGTAATGGGGAATTTAATTCTATATTTAAGTAACAATGCAGTAACAATACTGCATTGAAGAAATCAAATTGAAATACAATACCTTGCTTTACATATGTAACAAAAAGCGAAAAGTGGGATTGTTGAAGAAAAAAGCCAAAATCATCCTTTGCAATTTCACACAATCTGCTTGAAAAACCACATTTTGGAATGCAAAATAAACAAACAATCATGCATCTTCATGGAACATATTGACTGTAATTTCCAGAAAACTATGTAAACGTGTATTGAGTGGAAAGTATCGTTTGAATAAATATTCTGAGAGGTAGCTAGTAAAATGTATCTGAATCTCGGAATATTGTGTAGAACTTTCCTGCACAGACTGTGTATTGGCACATGAAATATATATTTATTCATGATAAATTACAAAAAAAATATTTTTCACAGCTAACAAGTGTGAGGAACAAAATTTAGGTGTTTATAACCTTCTGTACCCAACCAATGGTAAGCCTTTCGACAATCAGATATGATGGTGGTTCCGGGTTTGATATTTTTTTTTATAATTACTATTTATGTTGTCCAGTCAGGACCTGGGACCATGAAAACTCCTTTGGTATCTCGCTGTATACCACCAAAAAGCTATTGTCTATCTATCACTCGTCCTCTTTATATTTTTTTCCAAATTCAGCTTCGTCTATTTCAACTATTTTGTTCTCACAACATTCCAAACAAACCTTAAATAATTTTGAATGTGATATACATCATATAACAGGTGTTTTACTTCTCTGCACAACTTCCAAGCCTATGTTTAATTTATTCATTGAGAACTTTATTCTGGGATGTGTAATGAACAAAAAATATGTTGTGAACATCATACCTTTTCTATTGTGAGGCGCCATTCAAAAAAATGGTTTTTTTCCTGGCAGTTTTAGTAAAATTACAACTAACGATTTTGTCTTTTTTCTTCAATATCTTAACTATTCGTTTTTTGTTATATCTGTACAGTAAAGTATCAAAATTCAATTTGCATTATTCATTGAAATTGGTACTGCGTATTGTTGCTACAAACACTCTAACTTGAATTGATTTTTTTATCGACCTTCTTTGGGTATTTTCACCTTCCACAATCTGAAAAATTCATCCAAAGAAGGTCGACAAAAAACTTGATTTTCCCCACAAAAAATGACTTTCATTCAATATTCAACAGAATTAAATTCCCTCACTTTGACTAAATTTGACTCAAATTCATGTTTGAGATTTTTATAAATCACTCAATCAAAAGTGTACATTCGAAATGTCACTAGTATATAACCTTAAAACGGAAGCAATCTCCAGAAACCGAATCCATTGTTATATCAAGTTTTTTTTAAAGAAAAATGTTAAATCGTTAAACTGAATGTCAAAGAAGGAAAAATAAGATGTGAAGGTGAATAAATACTTTTCTATATTTTCATTATGTAACAAGAAGGCTGGACAGTTGCAATTTTCGGAACTTTAGAGGTCTGTAACTGTGAAAATAAGGACGGGCACCAATTTCTTCTCTCGCATTCGTAATCTACACGCCAAAATATTAAGTACACCCAATTTTTTTTTAATCGGAGGGTGCAGCCTATCCGATATTTTACCAACTAGATATCAAAAGATATCTGGAATGGAGAAAAAACACCAAATATTTTTCAAAACCATTGAAACAGAAATAAAACTACACTTTTGGAGTTGTGTTTATTAACTTTGGCAGTTATTCCACATAGTAACTGAAGCTATATAAAGGATGAATAATGAGAAACCTATTAACAATAATATATCACAAATATAACAACATATAGTTCCTTTGAAATTTACACATTTTTTTAAAATTTTCCTACAGGTAATATACGATTTCAACTAATAAAGATCCACCTAACAGATAAGTAAAATGGTCTCAGCGGCAGGGTTCAGTTTCAGAAAAGGAATGTTGCTGATACAAATTAATGAATTTTTCATCAACAGCTATTCAGAACAAATAAAAAAGGAGATTATCCAAAATACAGCTAGACGACTTTTGGTTGGCCATATACGTGTTGAATAAAATGTGCATCATATATTTTCAATCTATATATAACCTTCCTATCTTCTAGTTTTTGATACTTTCAGATATTTTAATATGATTTTCTGTAAATAAGTTTATTTGACAAGGAAACATTTCTGCTCACATTCAATTTATGAAAGTGTTACGCTGAAAATGCTACATGATCTACAATGTCTCTTATAAAACCTTTTGGTATTTCCGGAGCTCATCAGTAGTTGTAATTTTGTGAAAAATGAGGAAAATTTTGGAAACGAGTCTCATTACATATTATTTGATATTCAAATGAGTTATCATTTTGGGAAAAAAATTACAACTACAGTTTTAGACTTTCAAATATTCACAGTTGTTTAGAATTGAGACCCAATAACTGAATGTCAGAATGTTAAAAAAAAATCCAATGATTTTGAAATATCAAAAATTATTAAGGTATTCGAATGAAGAAAATTGGTCCAAATTCAAATAAAATTGACACCATTTTTTCAATAACTACAAAATTATCATATTCCAATAACTGATTTTTTAGTAAGTATAATGTTTATACAGTAGTCTTACCGTTGTTGAAAATTATTTAGATGGTATGTGTACAAAATTCTAATTTTTCACAAGTCACTAGATTTAGGTTCGAAAAATCAAATTTTCTTTAATAACTCTGTACGAAAATTTTGTTTATTTTTCTTTCGAATCTCAAAGTTGTAGACTCAAACACCATATGTCAGTAAAGTATAAAATCACTGTCATGTGAACTTATGTTTATCCTTGAATAAATTCTTGAAAAACCAAAAATGTATTTGTAGAATTGATTTCTAATTATTGATACAGAACTCAACCAGTTTTAGTTATGTGAATTCATTGAAAGATTTGATATTTTCATTTTTGTAAACTAACCCTCCAAAGCATTTTTCACTCCGTGTATATCACATTTGACACACATTCAGTTTTCGTTAATCTGAACAGAACATGAAAAATGACTCCTTCATTTCGTAAATCAAAGTATATTTTCCAGATATACAGACAGCTTTACATTCAAATGAATTTCAAAGAAACTTCAATGTTCATAATAGGAAGAAAGAAAAATCCATCGTATTCATTGCAGTTTCAATGAAAAAGTTACTTATTGAAATAAAATTGATTTTTCGATTTTCCAATATTACTCATACCTTTTCACCTGATGAATTTGCCAGTTTACAGAAAAATTTACTTAGAATATTTCTCAAGAATTTTTCTAACGATAGTAGTCTAA